TTCTATTTATAATCATAAACATTATCAGCCCAACAGCAAACAGTTCCTTTACAGAAGGGGGTCACAGTTAGCAAATCTACCCATCAACATGTCTTTTTAAAATCCAGATTCCAGCAAAGGCAATGACAATGGGCATTAACATGTTGCAGTAGCAGCAGTGGCAAAAGCTTGAGAATTAGCTATCAAGAAAGCCAGTCAGTAGTTGGAAGCAATACCAGTCTGAACAATCAAGTGAGAGAAATTGCCCCAGGTAAACAAAATGGCGTCTGTCAGCTGAGGCCTTCCTGGCATGGCCAACACATTCCTCTCTGCCTCTCCTGCCTCATACACACATATGTTCACACATACACTATTGTTTTATCCTAGGTATTTATCATTGGATGGAGGTCCATCAAGAGCATCAGTTTCCACAATAAGGACTGTATACTCCTAGGGATCTCCAAGACACTCTCACAAAATCTGCAAAATCAGAGCTACTTTCATAAAAATACTATTACCATACTTGTTCTTTTCATCATGATGACATTTACCACTTTTTAGTATTTGGAAGTTAAGCTGAAAGCACCTTTAATGTATGCTGATGCAAGAAAGTTGTCTCAAACTGGGCTAGGTGGCTCAGCCTGTAATCCCAGTGCTTTGGGAGGCCAAGGTGAGTGAATTGCCTGAGCCCTCGTCAATTTGAGCAACTTGGCTAGACCTCGTCTCTACAATAAATCAAAAATTAGCTGGGTATGGTAGCGTGTGCCTGTAGTTCCGGCTACTTGGAAGGCTGAGGCGGAAAGATCGCCAGAGCTCAGCAGGGCAAGGCTGCGGTGGCCGGGAGCGTGCCACTGCTCTCCAGTCTGGGCAACAGAGTGAGACTCCAACTCAGAAAAAAACAAAAAAAAAAAAAAAAAAAGAAAAAGAAAGTTGACTCAAGGAAAAGCACTGTGTGACTGAGCTGTGAGCTGAACTGGCATCTCCTTTCATGGACACCATTTTAACATGAAACAAAAATGACTGACAGTCAAATTATGGTTATTAAAAATTTGATGAATGTTTGTTTTTGGAAAATAAAAAAAGTGAGCCAATTATTTCAAAAAAGAAACAAAAAAAGAAATGATAGTATTTCTCACCAAATACAAGAATTAGAACAATCAAGTAAAATTTAGAATTCTAGAAGATGGGTATCTGCTTCCAAGTGCCTGCCTAAAGGCTTCTAAATACTGAAGCTGTCTAATGAGATCAGCAGTGATATTAACATATGCTCTTAGGAGTAAAATAAAATGTCCTTCCTGTGAGTAAAATAAAATATGGAAGATCTGCATAATTTAGTGAGTCAATACTTCCCAAATTACCTTTGCATCATGTTACAAAGTCATGCATGGGCAAAAAGCCATTCAAAGTGCAACATAGACCAATTTGATTTTAATATAACAGAACAGGGAAAGTTAACTGAGATAATTTTAGGTTACACACAACAAGCCTTAAAAAAACCTGAATTTTAGTGTAGTAGCTAATAATATCCAAAATTATTTGGTAAAGACAATTAAAATGCTCCCATTCTAACTAAATATCTGTGTGAGGCCAGATTTTCTTCAAGTTCTGCAATCAGAAGAGCATATTCCAGTAAGATTAAAAAAACCAACAACAACCATATTGAAATCCAGTTACTTAAACCAGATAAAGGTGTTCAGAAATGTAAAACAATGTCTCCCTTCTCACTAAATGATTTCTGGTTTGGAAAATGCAGTTAATGTCTGTGAAAATATGTTTTGTTAACATGCAAAGAATTTAATTCTAACAAATTAACTTTCTAATATAGTGAACAGCTTTAATTTTCAACACGATAAACAGCTATAGATATAGCCCACATGAACAGAAGCTTGCCAGAGTCCTCAATCATTTGTAAGAGGTGGCATGGTGGGGTGAGGCCACAATGTGAGCGTAGCTGGTCCCGAGGGTCACGCAACACAGGGGCTACACTACCGGTCCTCTCCTGACTGTCCCCCTGCACTTCACTCATGATTCTCCCCACTCCATCTGGTCCTCCCTAAATAACATATAACTACCTCCTGCAGAATAAGTCATGGCCCTCACCTATGCCGTGCTATAGGACAACCATAAATTGCTACATGTAGGGTTAAGAAAGGGCTGAATAAAACTATGTGACTTTATAAGGGAAAATAAAAAATACAGGGAGGAAAAAAATAATTTGACTGAACTCAATATATTAAGAGCTCTGCTATCATAGTAGTGAAGTAACTGTACTAGCCCATGTGATCACTGAGCCAAGCTAGGGAGGGTAAATAAATCATTTGGGGCAGAGTAAAAACTAAATACAAGAGAAGCATACGCATACTTTGTTCATGCAGGAAAAGAAATTTGTGTCAGGACCATTATGGAAGCCCAGATGCCCAGCACCAGCCAGGTCTCTGCAGTCACCAACCACTTCCAACACAACCCCAGCCACACTGCCAGGCAGTGGTGACTGAAGGCGTAGGCTGGACATCAAAGTAGCCCAAATAAAACCTGTAAAAATGTCTGATTTTAAACAGAAAAATCTAGTTACGAGTAAATAACTAGATAAACAATTAAAGTTATACAATTACTCATGCGGACATGCACAGACACATTCACCATCTCCCTTTCTCCCTCTCCCTTGCTCCATTAAGCTGCATGTTGTTGGTTCCCTGTACCTCAGCACTGCTGACTGAACTCAGATGAGCAGTTCTCTTGATTGGAAGCCACATTTAATGGCCAGAGTTGGTACAACATTTGGCCTAGATTCATGCACATAATAAACAACCAAACCATTTGTAAAATGATTTAGATTTTAGAATATTCTTTAAATTATACGTACTATAAGACATGATAAAAGACAACAAAAACATGGCATATATTTACTATTTTTGTCAAAGATAAATCTTGGAGCTCAAGAAAAAAATCCTCTCACTTTGTAGAGGATGGAAACTTTGTAGAGGATGATAATTAAAATGTCAGGAGCAACCACCCATAATGCATTACTCTTCTCCACTGCCCATCCACACGGCGAGTAAAATAAAATGTAGGCACACACAATTCTCAAGAATGGAAAAATTTGGAATAATCAAGTGTTCATCTTTTCTGTGTTGGAATCTAAGTTTTATTTGCATTCTGTACAATATGTCTCTGTCTTTTAAAAATACACTATCCCAGCCGGGCTCGGTGGCTCAGCCTTTAATCCCACGCTTTGGGAGGCTGAGGTGAGTGGATTGCCTGAGCCCATCGGCTCGAGACCCGCCTGGACAACTTGGTGAGACCTCATCTCTACAATAAATCACAAAATTAGCTGGGTATGGTAGCACGCGCCTGTAGTTCCAGCTGCTTGGAAGGCTGAGGCAGAAGGATCACCAGAGCCCAGCAGGTCGAGGCGGCGGTGGCCGGGAGCGGCCACTGCCCTCCAGTCTGGGTGACAGAGTGAGACTCCAACTCAAAAAAATAAAAAATACACTATCCCAAACATAATACAACTGCATCAAGTACATCATGTACTATAAACTCATTACTCTAATATGTAGCTATAATACACATTCCCTGTTCCCTACCTGCCCTCCTCCCATACATAAATTATATGCTTGAGCACACACATACAGACACGAAAACTGCCAAGCTCTTAAGTGTGGAACAAGGACATCTTCCAAGAATTACCAATACAGAAGGCAAGGCTGTTGATGATACTCTTGCCCCTACACTAGCCTAACTCCACACATCCCCAATACACAAATGAGAAGGATGCCCAATGACATCAGGGACTATACCGCTAGATGCAGGGGCTGGCCCCAAACTTCAGGACTCTCTCTGTTCCCAGCTCACCAATTACTTGCTTCTTTGGTACCATCAGTACGAGGTGCCAGTAGCGGATGGCACTATTTTAAGGGTCCCTGCCCTCAACAAGGTTCTCTGTGGCCCATTTCCTTGTGCTGCTTTCTGCTTCTGGGACACTTCGTCCTGAAAGACTCACTTTCTTGAGATGGCTTCTAACGAAGAAGACTTTTCTTTCCTTCTGTAGAGCACCCATTATTCCACAGTCATTTGTTCTTGATTGTGTTTCGTTTAAAGTATGTGTTTCATTTAAGTGGCTATTCTAAGATAAACACAAAGTTGACCATATGTCTTTTAGCTTTAGCCAGATCATTTCTAAAATAAGAAAGTATGCTCTACTGTTGTCCCTTCCACCCCTGTCTAATATTCACAGTGGTGATGCTTTGACCAACTTACACTAACATTTCTTCATTCACAACACAGTTATTGTGCTGGACACTGCACCACGTGCTAGGACTAATGGTAAAAAAATCAGATACTATGGTCCTTGAAGAGGAAGCTTCATCTATATAATCCAACTACATAGCTTACCATGTAAATAAAACCTAGCTACTGAAAATAATTTAGATTAATGTAAAATCATCAGTTTATCAAAATTAAAAATGTTCCTTCAAGTGTTTTTCAAGTATTTATCTACATGACATATTAAATCTGGAAAAGGTTCTTTCAAGAATATTTAGTTGTTCTTTCACTCTTCACTAGGGCACAGCCCTCTTTCATTAGAGATATTGCATGGGAAGTGGTGAGAGCACGCAACCCATGGCATCACAGATATGATAGTCACATCACACTGCATCCAATAAAATCCCACAGGACTTCTTAATTTTAAAAGACCACATAAAAGGAGGCCCTCAACCTTCTACAAAAAGTTCCCATTCCCTATTCTGTCCATTGGAATCATATCAAGATAAATCACAGTTAGATCACAACCAAGTATTAAAAACATTATTTTCACTTGAAATGTTCTACTTAGTTTGGGAAATGCACTTGTTCAAAATTCTTCTAAAGAAAGAAATTGAATTTTACAATACTTTAAAAGATAAAATAATCAAGATTAGTTTTTAATCTGGGAGGTATTATATTCTATTTCAACACTCCTTGTCTGGGAAGCATGTGATTTATCTAAGCTGTTTCATCACCAGTGACAGTCTCCATACCTGTGTGGCTCCGGATGTGAACTCTCAGGGTACCACTGCTGGCAAATTTCTGGCCACAATATGGGCAGATTTTCTCCTTTTCTCCTGTATGTGTCTAAATGGAAAGAAATACAGAAGTTGAAGATAAATATAAAGAGTTAGGTAAAGATGATTAAGTGCCTCTGACGGTAATAAATCCTTATTTTCCAGGATAATGTTTCATTAAAATGATTTAATTTCACAATGGGATTTTAAACAATTTATGATGAATATTCTCACTGGTTCAAAAAAAAAAAAGAAAAAAGAACAATTTACAATCAAGTATTAGTGTTAATTTGAAAATAATTCTGCAGTTTACTTTTTAAGCCTTTATGGAGCCCCATCTAAAAATGAGTAAGTTATATGAAACTAGTAAATGCTAGCAAAAACACATACTCAAAATGGGGCTACAGCTGCCTTTGACTGTTGCCAAGAAATACTTCCTTTGAAGCATTTTCACATTCTTTGTGTGCATTTAACTCATGAGGACAGGATTAATCTCAATAAAGTCATCTGTTACTTGCGTTATACTGTTTGACTAGACTGGTTTCACTGCAAAGCAAAAAAGGAATATAAATCGCATTTGACCTTTAAATGCAGCAGGTGTTAACTGAACAGTCCATTTGAAAGAGCATTTCTCCCCTCAACATGCCTTCAATCTAGGCATAAAACAATCACAGGAAGAAAGGTGAATGAGTATCAGCAAAAGTGAGCTACAGTAAATGCTGGAGAGTTCAAAGAGAAAGGAGTGATCCCTCCCTGAAAGAGGAGGCAGTGGGACACTTTAAACTGGTCTACAAGCTCATCAGGAGACTAGTACTTCTCCCAATGTCAAAACTGATCACCCTAACAGACAAGAGGTCAGAGCTATTTCTCAAGTCTCCATGTTTCTCAGACTTGGAAGGGGGACAGAGGGAACAAGCAGCAATTCCTGTAGACACTTGTACATTCTATTTGAGACTGCTTCTAGAATGTTTTTCAATGATAACCTAAAAATTAGTAAAAGCACCGCCATTTCATCTGCGTTACAATAAAAAAACACAGCCCCCAGGGACTGTGTTTACATTTGTTCTTATGCAAATTACCAGCAAGTACTATTATTTGAGTTGCCATAACTAAAAATAAAGGAAAAAATAATAGGAAAGGTTTTTAAATATGACATGTTCCCAGAAAAGAAAGCTGGTTGAGAGAGAAAGGGGGATGGGGCAATTACCTTACCACCAGGCAACTTAAAAGAACCATCAACATAGAAAATATTTCCATCTTCCATATCAAATTCGTTATTAACTTTAATGTAATTGGCTTAATAGCCCTATTGGTATTTAATTTGCAAATTCACCTATTTGTATTATAACCTGTATTTGGACATACATGACCATATATTTAATTTTTGAAGGAGCCATAAACTAAATACCTTTGTCAACATCTGTGTCTTTTATAATTTTTTTCCCTTTAAAAGATTTATACTATTCTCCAGTTTGAGAAACAAAATTTAATTAACTCCTACACTAATCGACAACACTGTGTACAACAGGCTTTACCTTCATTCTGCATTTGGCAAGTACTCAACTTTCCATTTCACTACAAGCTCTTATACAAAAGAGTCATCCACCTTTACACCTCAGTAAGAGCCTTTACTCCCCTGGTCCACATGATGGTTCAATGATCATATAACAGACCTGTCTTCTCATTTCCCCAAAGAAAAGGTAAAATACAAAAATTCTTTCTTGATTAGCATAAGGCTGTCTAGAAATTATATACACCTATTATTATAACACTGTATTATTCCAAACAGGTAACTACCAATTTACTTGTAATAGCTTTATAAAATCACAGCAGTCCTTTTGCTGCTATATATTTCATTGTTCATTTGGATGACCCAAGACTTGTCAATACTAGAAGTTTCTAACTAAAGGATATCAAATTATATTAATAAAAAGAATTAAAATTTCCTTTCACTTAACTCAAAAATATATCATATTATTAAGTATGGAATATGGTTAAGTGATTCTAAAAGACATTAAAGATATACTTAACCGCCTTAACAATGGATAAGAAAGCCTAGAAACAGCTCACTATAAGAACAATCCTGGATAAATGTATAGGATGAAAATGAGCAATACAGTATAAAATATACTCGGTGACAATCTATTGTTGCAGACAACTAAATCTCTTTTGAAAACTCATTACACTTTTCCCTCATTTATCGAAAAGCAAAAAAAAAAAAAAATTGTTAAAGTCATGCAAAAAAGTAATTCAATCAAAGAAGGCTGAAAAACTATTCTTTTCAGAGATTTTAAAAAGGAAAACATTATCATTATTACTAAGCATTAAAGATATAGGCAAAGAAAGTTACTCAACTCAGTTCTTTTGAGACAGTGTATTAAGGATATGTACCAAAGCACAAGTCATATGAAAGCAGGAGTCTTTTCCTCACATACAATCAGGAAGAAAACTACCTCACTTCATTGTTATTTCTAAAGTAAACATTTAAAACTTTTATTGCATTTGTTACAACATAAATTTTGCTATTCCAAAAATATACTTATTGGACAAATAAAAAACAAACAGTTGATTTGCTTGTTAGCACAACACAAAATATATAATCACCAAATCACTATAAGAATACTTTATTTGAGTTAAACAAATGCTTATCAAGTCCTGTTCTGTGCCAGGGGCTTCCCTGTGCCCTAGAGATGAAAGATGGAGGACAATTCCAGTCCTAAAAGGCTCAGTCTAATAACTTGCCAATAAACAAAGGAATTAGCTTTGAAAAATAAATGTGATAAGGGACTACTCCTATTTATCTAAGAGAAAAAGCATACATTAATCAAAAAATGTACACATCTGATAAGCTCTGTATGAACCACCTCTAAGCATAGCTAAGAGTTATCAAGAACCTATATCTGACTCTGAGGTTCTCTTACCTGAAAAAGATGTCTATTCTGAAAAATGAAGCGAACATCTTTTGAAGAGCTGATATAAACCATGCATTTGTCATTTTGGGTAAATTAATGATAAATTAATATAAAATTATCACATAATAGTTAACAATATATGCTCCATACTATTTAAGTATATAATCCATTTAAGTAAATGGAAGGCTTCTACTTACTTTCTTATGACTTCTAAGCACTGAAGGTGTAACAAATGCCTTGTTACATAGCTCACACCTGTATTTCTTGTGTCTTTCATGGACCACCTGAACATGAACATTTAACGTATCCTTTCTTTTAAAGGTAGCATCGCAGTGATGACACTTGAAAGTCCTCTCACCTTAGAAACAAAAACTCAAATAAGAGAAACATAAGATGCAACAGCCGGGATACAGCAGGGTCCTATTTACCACCTACCATGTACACTAGATAGTTATTTTCTCCAAAAAGTTCGTTTTATAACTCTAAGAATTTATCATAATTTTTACAAAAAATTTCATTTCCATATTTGCTAATTCTCTGTATGACTAAGGGAAAGTCTCTTAATCTTACATTTTTAGTCTGTTCAACTAGAAAATGTGGAAATTAAATTAGCTAATTTCCTAAAGGTTCCATTAACATTTTTTGAAAGTTCTAGGACAGAGGCTGGAATTTGAGGTAAACAGACTCCTGCAGTGACACATGGTCTCTGTCAAGCAAGTGAGTTAACTTTGGGGCCTCTCCCAAGCACCCCCTACTCCCCTGTCTCAGGAATCTGGACTGGAGGCTCCCTAACTTGGTTCTTAGGCTGTTGAACAGCTTTCTGGCCTCTCAGAAAGGCAGGTTTGATAGGAACAGGGGATTAAGACTGGTGGTCACCATATTTCACACTGGAGGCCTAGGGAGGAGGAGCTTTATCTTCTTTTCTAGTCTGAGCCTGAAGGAAAAGCAACTCTAGAAACTATGTTTAGGAATCTATGGTACTTCTTAACTTTCACATAATGCTATCTTTGGAGCTCTTCTTAACACATAGCCCTAACATTTAGCAGTCCATTTTAAGTACAATTTCAGCAATGATATGCACAATTGAAAGCACTTTATGCCGGGCTCGGTGGCTCAGCCTGTAATCCCACGCCTTTGGGAGGCTGAGGTGAGTGGATTGCCTGAGCCCACAGGTTCGAGACCCGCCTGGGCAGCGAGACCTCATCTCTACAATAAATTAAAAAATCAGCCGGGCGTGGTAGCGCATGCCTGTAATTCCGGCTACTCGGAAGGCTGAGGTGGAAGGATCGCCGGAGCCCAGTAGGTGGAGGCTGCGGTGGCCGGGAGCGGCCACTGCACTCCAGTCTGGGCGACAGAGTGAGACTCGAACTCAAAAAAAAAAAAAGGAAAGCACTTTATAACAGGATGGTATAAAATACATGTAGCACATAATTATATGAACAAGGCAGATTAGTATTTGAATATGCTTTCCCTTTTTAGAAAATAATCATATCAGCACAGATTCTCATATCATATTGCCTATGAAGCACAATATAGAATTAACTAAATTTCTATATCTAAATAAGAGATTGCCTCAATTTCAGTCAAGCTCTTCTAACTTCCTTCCATTATAACTAGCACTACATTTAGAAATGTGAACATCCTATTATTTATTCATACCAAATGGAAGGGAAAAAGGGAGGGAGAAAGGGAGAGAGGAACAAAAAGAAGAAAAAAGAAAAAGTAAAATTACCTTCCCTTTTGTCTTTTCAAGTAAAATTATAGCTCTCTAATTTAAAATCCCTTAGAGATCTGTTGACATTAGATATTTAATGCAAAGTCACAGCTAAACCATGAATGAACTGTGAGGACTCTGAGAACTATTTGTTGCCTTTGTGTATTTTTGTTGCAGGGTACAATTTTTGTAAACTACTTTGTATGTACATATTTTTTAGATTTATTTAAACATTTTATTTGTGCAAAATGTGTAGCCAGTGAGAGTATAAGGAAATACCAATTTATATAGTATTACAAATATTAATGTTAACAATATCAGAGCTATTCAAGCAATAAAAAAGATTTTTTTAAAAAAGTCCTCCAAGATAACTACCAAGTGAATAAAAATGTTGGTCCCTGTACAAAAATCACATCAAGCAAAGCCAAGGAAGTCCTTACCTTTCTTCTTTCATATTTTAATTCCATATTTTTTGTCTTAAATTTATCTGAATTGTTAAATTCTGATGAGACTTTATATGGTTTTATCAACTTTCTCTGTCTTAAGTTTATCAGAATTTTTCCCTGTCTTAATACTTAGATGCTAGCCAGCACTCTACCCTTTTGTTTTCAGTATATTGGGAAATAACAACAATTTACAAAATGATCATGACAAGTTATTCTTGATATTTTGAGCCAGACTGCTGATGTAATTTTCTAATAACAGCTTTCATATTTTGAAGTAAAATAGGTTTTAATGTTCATAATGTGTAAGACAAAACCTAGTATTTTGTCCTATTTCAGCCATTTCCGGTTTTCCCATCCTTTTCACTCCCTGATGTCTAGCTTTACCTTAAATAACTTATTTACTCACTCAGTTACCAAAGTTGATTTTCCTGACCAAGGCTCATGATGTAGCCTTACAAAGTCTCTGATTAATGTGCCAATCAACATCACATTAAAATCATAACACACAACATAGTCTACAAGCAGTCTCTTTAATCTTATTCCTCAAATTGGTAAGAAGCAATAAGCTGAAATCAAAAGTACAATCTTTTAAAAAATTCCTTTCCAAAGCAAAATTTCTAGGGTATCAGGACAAATTTAGCCATATAAATCTTAATAGCATGAATGAGGCTCATTTGTCTAAATTCCTATCTAAAATCCATTCATCTCATAACAGTTTTTTTTTTAGTAAAAATGGTAATGAAATAGGATGGAAATTTCCTGTATTGCACAACAAATTCTATTTCTTAAGCGCACAGTTTTTTTGCATATATATATATGCATATAAATATATATACATGAAAAATGGAAGGTTGTGTTAATAACATATATATGCATATATATATATATATATATATATGAAAAATGGAAGGTTGTGTTAATAACTTCTCCAGAGCTGTAAGCTGAATGCAGTATGTCATGAGAGCAAAACACTACCTTTTCTACGGGAAGCAGATTGCAATTCATCAGAATCATTACTACTCAGTACTTTAAAAAAAAACTTAATATTTTCATTATTTTTAATTTTAGACACTTCAATTTGACAAGAGAAAATTTCTTCCGAGATACTTTACTGTACAACCAATTGTCAAAATTGATTTTTTTTTTTGTTTTCCTCAGAACTATTAAAATTTAAGCAGCAGTAGGAACTTCATATGTATAGAGAATCTTCTGCTGACTAAACAAAACAAATTAAAAGTAAGAAATATAAATACTACCCATGGTACACATTTTTTTTCATTAATTTTAGATACAATAGTGTAGTAAATCTCAGATTACTTCAACATCTGAACAGAGAACCCACTTTAAAACTCAGCTTAGCAATAACATGTTCTTCTCAATAAAGTGATGTCCTACAGGGATACAGCTGTACATTCTGTGGTGTTGTAAAAGAGCTCTGAAGCCGGGCTCAGTGGCTCAGCCTGTAATCCCGTGCCTTTGGGAGGCTGAGGTGAGCGGATTGCCTGAGCCCGCGGGTTCGAGACCCGCCTGGGCAGCGAGACCTCATCTCTACAATAAATCAAAAAATCAGCCGGGCGTGGTAGCGCACGCCTGTAATTCCGGCTACTCGGAAGGCTGAGGCGGAAGAATCGCCGGAGCCCAGCAGGTCGAGGCTGCGGTGGCCGGGAGCGGCCACTGCACTTCAGTCTGGGCGACAGAGTGAGACTCCAACTCAAAAAAAAAAAAAAAAAAAATCAGCCAGGCGTGGTAGCGCATACCTGTAATTCCGGCTACTTGGAAGGCTGAGGCGGAAGGACCGCCGGACGGAGCTCAGCCAGTCGAGGCTGCGGTGGCCAGGAGCAGCCACCGCACTCCAGTCTGGGCGACCGAGTGAGACTCCAACTCAAAAAAAACCCAAAAACAACAACAACAAAAAAAAAAACAAAGTAAAAGAGCTCTGAGTATAACTGTTGAAGTTTCATGGTCTGTTTGTATAGAACTTAATCCAAAATTTTTAAAAATGCCCCTACCAGAAGAAGTAAGAACTCCAGGACACATAGGTAAGTAAGAAAAGACTTAACTATCAGAGACCTGGATGCTACTTCTTGTGTGGTGAAACCCTGAGTATGTCAGTGCTTCTGGGTCTCGATATTCTCAATACTCCTCAAGTTAAGGTGTTAAATTAGATGAGCACTCTGATCCTTTTCAACCTTAAAAATTTGTGAGCTAATAAAATCATGCCAGATACCTGCATGTTTTAAAGCATCTGAAATGTTTCTTTAATCATTATATTTAAAGAAAACAAAAACGTGTTTGAAAACAAAACTCAAAGATACCTTACTGAATATAGAAAATGTTTTTATACACAAACTTTAATGAGAAGAAATAATATAAAATGAAATGTATCATAAAATGGTAAATCTTACAGTGGGAAAATAAAGCTAAGATAGAGGAAGAAAAGGTGAAAGAATTTTCCATCCTTTTTTATGTTTAAAAAATTACATCACTGCTTATAGGTATACCTGTAGGATGCCTACATTCTCAGAGATCACAAGAACAGAATGTGAGATGATCCTTTAGTTCTCAATAGCCTGCGTTGTGACTTACTGTTATGTATTAGCAGGTGTCTCTGCAAAGAAAATGGGGTCCGGAACAAAGCTTTACATTCCTCACATTGAAATGGTTTCTCCTCAGAGTGAGTCTACAGAGGAAAGACACTGTAAGTCAGGAGGATCTAGAATCCACTAGTCATGATAATAACAGCAGCTTGGGTTCATGACGTGGAAGAGGAAAGAAGGGAAGGTGGACAATATCTTCTTTCTTCTGGAGACATCCTTCCACCATAAAATTGTAAGCATAAATATGCTGTGTTTACAAGAGAAAAAACAATTATATTTTCAAATCTCATATTAATTCATAATTTAATAGTCAAATAAATTATTCCTATTATCTCAGTGGCTAATCTGAAAACCCAATGGGATTTCTCAGACCTACTTTACAGTGAAATGGTGTCCAATTTCTCTAAAAACTAAACCTCCTCAATCACTGACCAGGCTTTAACTATGGTAGTGCAAAATTTGCAACACAGACAAAAGAAACTGTTACAAGGTAAACTTCATTCACCCTTTCCCATCAATTTCACTGACTATCTTCAAATAATCTTTAGTCCTAGGTGCTGCTTTACCCTAATTACACTATAGCATTTATTCATGCTATAATTAACCCTAAATAACATTCCCTAAATATTTAATTTGTGTCAAATGCTATGCCGGACACTTTACATGAATTATTTCATTTTATTACAAAAATAACTCAATGAATAAAATACTTTTATTTCCCTAATCTACTAATGAGAAAGCTAAGGCTCAAATAGATTCAGTAACTTGTCTAAGATTGAAGGCAGATGCAGCAAGCACTATTAAGCACTATAGTACATGACAAACAAAAATATATTGACAAACAAGAAATAATGAAAAGCCACCAGCTAGATCTAAAATTAAAAACAAAAACACCAAAGCTGTTCGTGACACCTGTTTTCTATTACACGTCCACATAAACTCATTCGGCACAAATCAGTGAATAAAATCTTATTCTACCATGGATGACAAGATAAGGCTCATAAATGCTTAAAAAAAAGAAAGAAAGAAAAAAATTATGTACTTACTACAATAAAAAATGAATAAAAGTTGAGGTTTACAACATATGTGATATAAAAATAAAACACTTTAAAGGAAAGTCACTTTATTACAACATATTGATTTACACATTTTCATAGTTTAATATTCAAAATATAAGCATAACCTATAAACATAATGTTGGTGAATAAGGGATTATTATGCTTCTTTTTGGTTGTGAAAAATGCAGAGAAACAATGGCGGGAACAGATATATACGAGCCAGGATAGGTTGGGCAAAGTGGCTTGTGCCTGTAATCCCAGGTTGAGGCAAGAGGATTGCTTGAGCCTAGGAGTTTGAGACCAGCCTAGGCAACACAGCAAGGCCTTGACTCTACAAAAAACAAACAACAAAAAAAGCCAGACTTGGTGGTGCCCTCCTGTAGTGTCCCAGCTACACAGGAGATTGAGGAGGAAGGATCACCTTAGCCCAGGAGATCGTGCCACTGCACTCCAGCCTGGGTGAAAAGAGTCAGGATAAATTACAGATATTGAAATGTGCTACTTAGCCACAGAAATTGAAATGGAAATACATAGATCAATAAAACAGAAGAACAGGCTTATTTCATGACATAAAATGTATGAACGTTTAGTATAGGAGAATATGGCAGTCAAATTGCTAGGAGAAGAGTAGAATGGTTTTGAGGAAACTGTCTAGACAGTAGGAAAAATTAAGCTGGGTCTACTACTCACCTCTTACAATAAGATAAATTCCACATCTGTTCAGGTATTTTTTAAGTGAGGAATAAAACACTAAATGTACTAGAAGAAAATACGAGCAAATTTTAAAATATTTTTTGAGCAGAGAAGGCTTTCTAAGGAAGATAGAGAAACGATATTCAAATAAGAGAAATAAATAGATTTAAAACAGCAAGGTAAAAATCTTTGGTGCCAAAAAAAATATTTACAACATAAGACAAAAGTTTAATATCACCAATATATAAAGTATGGCACATTAATAAGAAAAGATAAAAACTCCAAAAGAAAATGGGCAAAAGAAGTCCCTTCCAAACAGCACTCCTAAGATTTAATTGTCATTTTACTTTGTGCCAGGTCCCTACTCTGCACTTCATGCCTCTACATGCAAGTTCTGTTTTAGATGCTGAAAACATAGCAGTGGTCAACAAAAAAAAAAGCTATGTCTCTGCTATATGAAGCTTTTTTGCTAATAAAAGGAGAAGGACAATAAACAAATAAGATATGTACTATATGAAGGAATACATGCTATGAAGAATAAGAAAGCAAGAAAGAAGATAGCAAATGTTTCAGAGAATGGGGTAGCAATTGTAAATAGGTAGTCAAGAAAATTCTAGCTGAAAAGGTGGCATCTGAGAGAAGACTTGATGAATACAAGGGAGCAAGACCTGGGTGTCCTGGGCAGGAAACACCATGGAGGCCAGCGTGGTTGGAACCACGTGGAAGAGGGAGTGAAGTGAGGAGATGCAGCCAAAGAAATGGGAGAAACAGGTGAGGAGAAGCAAGTCATGCCGGGCCTGGTTAACTATGGCAGGAATTTTGTCTCTTGCTCAAGACAGAGATGTGAATTTTCTGAGGGGTTTTGGACAGATGAGTGGCATGATTCACTTGACATTTAACAGGATGTTATGACAGCTGCATAGATCACAGGATGTAGGGGATAACAGAAAGCAGAGTAGCAATGGCAATAAACCAAGCAAGAGATAATGAAGGCTTATACCATGATGGTAGTCACAGAAATGAAAAGAAGTAGTAGGATTCTGGATATGTTATGGAAGTGAACAGGTTTTGTGAAGGGACTTGGACATGAAGCATGAGATATAGAAAAGATGAAGCAAGCATGACTCCAAGATCTATGACCTGAACAACACAAGGACAGATTAGCCCTTAAAAGATACATAGAAGAGCAGCGAAAAACAAATTCGGTAAAAGATAAGGGGTTCCATCTTGGACAAGTTCAAATGGCTACTAAAAGATGTCGAGTAAGAAGTTAAATACGTCAAGTCTGGATTACAGGGTATAAAACTTGAAGAAGTTCGATTACATATGGTATTAACAGTTAAAGCCACAAAACAATAAAAAATGAAAAAAGGTACTATCTATGATTAGTTTACCAATTCTGATACTCACTCCCCACCTTCCCACTCTGCCACCCAACCACCACCAACTTTCACAGTTATGGAATGAATGAGTGTGTTCAGCCAAAATTTATATATTACAATCCAAACCTTAACCTGATAATGTTAAGAGATCAGGCCTTTGGGAAGCAACTAGCTCACAGGAGTGAAGCCTTTACGAATGGGATTAGTGCCCTTATAAGAAGAGACAAGACAGTTTGCATTCCTTATCTCTCTGCTTTCCATCATGCAAGGGTACATCATGAAGATGATCATCTGCCAGTGAGGAAGTGGGACCTCACTAAACACCAGATTTGCCAGCACCTCAATCTCGTACCATCCAGTCTCTAGAACTGTGAGAAATGAATTGCTGTTTAAGTCACTCAGTTTATGGCATTTTGTTATAGCAGCCCAAATTAAGACACTCACCTTCTCATTTCTAATCTTCTATACTTAAACCCATAACAAACCATGGCTTAACATAAGTCAAAAGCATTACAATAAAGATAAAATTGTTGTACTCAGTCTACGAAACATCCTCCAGTTAGGATCATAGCTCTTAAAGCATAGTAGTAGATATAGTAGTAATTAACAGATAATTTGTACAAATAATGTGTATAGTTTTTAATATACTGGGGCAAATCCAGAAGGACATACTAGGGAGGGGACTGGAAATGCGGCGGGCAGGAGGAGGTGGCTGTGGGCAGGATTACAACCCAAGTGCCTGACTGATTACCATGCATTCACATATGATTTTAAGGATTTATGTCCATAAGATGGCGACGTCAAAAGAAAAAGAAAAAAAATTAATTGAATTTAAAAAAAAGAAATGTCACCTCTCTCCCTCTCTTCCAGTATTTCTCCTTTGTGACCGTAAGAAAGTTAAGGTCTTAGTGTACACTTGACAAGGCAGGTCAAGTGAGGACAGCTGGGAGGGAAGTGACCCTATTAAAATCAGAGAATAAAAGAACATCACTGATATGGCAGTAAGCAGGCTACAAGCTTTCCTTCAAAGTCAGAAAAGAATGCAGAAAGACTAGAACAGAGTATTATGTTCAAATTAAAGGTGTAAAGAGCACTTGGATACTTCAGACTGCTACACTCAATCGGTTTAGAAATACAACAGTGATTTAGCAGTGTTATAATATTACTAATGTGCTCATAAAATCAAGAAAGAGAAGAGTACTGAAGGGCAATAGCGCAAATGTTGAAATGCACATTGCATCTATACCTAGATACACATAAAGTCACGTATCATATTACTACTACTTTTCAACTGAGAACAATAAATCTTATTTATTTGGGATAATTTTCATGGATTTTATTATTCAGAAAATACCTGCCACTTTCATGGATTTTATTATTCAGAAAATACCTGCCACTTTCATGGATTTTATTATTCAGAAAATACCTGTCACATTCAAAGCACAATGTAGTAAATAGGTGCTGTGAATTAACTTTTAATTCAGTATCTGGAAAATAAAATGCATAAGTTAGAAACTGGAAACCTTGTACATTGCTGTGGGAATGTAAGTTAGTATATCCACTATGGAACACTGTAGTGAAGTTCCTAAAGAAGTTAAAAGAGGACTACCATATGATCCAGCAGTGTCCCTTCTGGGGATACATCTAAGGAAATGAAATCAGTCTGTGGAAGAGATGTCTACACTCCATGTTCATTGCAGCAGCATTATTCACAAGAGCAAGATATAAAAGCAACCTGAGTCCATCAATAGATTAGTGGATTTACAAAACATGGTTAGCCGGGCTTGGTGGGTCAGTCTGTAATCCCGCGCCTTGGGAGGCTGAGGTGAGTGGGCTGCCTGAGCCCGCGGGTTTGAGACACGCCTGGGCAACTTAGCGAGACCTCATCTCTACAATAAATCAAAAAATCAGCCGGGCGTGGTAGCGCGCACCTGTAGTTCCAGCTACTTGGAAGGCTGAGGCAGAAGGATCGCCGGAACCTAGCAGGTCCAGGCTGCAGTGGCCGGGAGCGGCCACTGCACTCCAGTCTGGGCGACAGAGTGAAACTCCAACTCAAAAAAAAAAAAACAACACATGGTGTATACACACACACACACATACACACACACACTGGGCGACAGAGTGAAACTCCAACTAAAAAAAAAAACACATGGTGTATACACACACACACACACACACACACACACACACACACACACACACACACACGGGAATACTATTCCACCTTAAAGATATGGGGTTCAATTCGGGATTAGGGAGACAAGTGGTCATCGTACAGGTAAAGTTTGGGCCTCCCTTTGGTCCTCACTTCACCTGGTTTGAGATTAAGTACCCTTTATTGATGTTATGTGTCCCCTCTTTCCTCTGGCAGTTTCTGGCTACTGCCAATCCCTTTTTTATAGTATTATGGTAAATGTTCAGGGTACACTTATGAGTGAGAACATATGGTACTCAGTTCTTTGCTTCTGTGATAAATCACTTAATATTATACACTCTAAATCCATCCAAGTTGCTGCAAAGTCCATAATTTTGTTCTCTTTTATGACTGTATAATATTCCATTGTGTATACATACCGCATTTTTTTTAATCCAGTCCAGTTTTGATGGGTAGCACAGTTGGTTCCATGTTTTTGTGATTGTAAATAGTGCTACAATAAACATACGTGTGCAGGTATCTTTTCTGTAGAGTGATTTAAGTTCCTCAAGGTATATTCCCAGAATATACAGATTGCTCTCGTATGGAAGGTCAATTTCTAGTTCTTTTAGGAATCACCACGCTGTTTTACATAGAGGTTGAACTAGTTTGCATTCCTACCAACAGTTTAGAAGCGTTCCCTTTTCTCCACATCCTTGCCAGCATCTGCTGTTTTTTGTTTTATTAATGATGGCCATTCTTACTGGAGTTAGGTGGTATCATAGAAAACACAGGAGACTCACTTACAGAAATCAGAACAGGCAACCAATTCCTGATCAAAACCCCAAAAGCCCATGCCATAAGAGATGAGATCGACAAGTGGGGTCTCATCAAACTGAAAACCTTCTGCCAAGCCAAAGAAGCCATCAAGAGATCAGGGAGACATCCCATAGAATGGAAAAAATATTTGCCATCTGACAAAGTCCTAACATTCAGGATCTACAAGGAACTCAAATGTGCCAAAAAGAAAAAAAACTAACAACCCCCTAAAAAGGGGGCAAAAGACACGAATAGACACTTCTCAGAAGACATAGGAGCAGCCAACAGATATGAAAAAATGCTCAGCCTCACTAATAATCAGAGAAATGCAAATCAAAACAACTTGGTATCTTTCTAAAAGATTTCCAAAGATCTTTTTTTTTACTGTCACAATTATGCCATATATTCTGGTTTTAAAATCTAATCCATTATCTTTTCAGGAAGACTCTTGTACTTTTCTTTAAAGTCTAGTAGAATTTCATTTAGGCAGAGTTAAAACTATATTATCTTTTATCAAGCTATATTGTTTGATCGTGACCAAAGAGATACTTTTTATTTCAAAATCACACACACACACACACACACACACACACACACACACACACACACACACGTATTGTTTCATTAAATGGCCTTTGTTCTGATATGGTCCACTTAAAATGACTATTCAAGATCTAGTACATTTATTTCAAGACCCACAAAGTAGTCATGGCCCAGACTTAGAAAGTGACTGGATGAGACATCACTGTGAGAGCCCCAATAGAATTATTCCAGGAAAAACTGTCACTAGATTTCCTCTCAAGCCCCTAAATTCTGTCACTAGATGGTTATGTAAAGGGTTGGGAAAGAAGGTCCTTTATTTGACCAGACGTACACATGCCCCAAGGAGCTTGTATGTGACACCACTGGGGCAAAACTCTTCTACAAGCACTTCCATCATCAGGCAAGTAATGCCCAAGAGGGTTCCAAATATCTAAATACCATCCTATATAGGAGGAGGGAAGCACTATACACCTTCCCTGAATTCTGCTTTGTCTTACATTTGATAGGGAACAAAATGGAGGACAAACACTAATTGACCTGTTTCTGTCTTTTCTAGTTCTGAATGTCTACCCAGGTGAGAGTTAAAGAATCTAAGTATAGTCAGATCCAGATAAACTATCTTTATTTTATCTAATCCTGAAATACAACTATAAGATCAAATGATTGTCAGAAAGGATGTGGGAAAAGATGATGAAAAGAATAAGTTTTAAAAATAGAAATCACCTCTTCAAAATTACTCTATAGGCCGGGCTTAGTGGCTCAGCCTGTAATCCCGTGCCTTGGGAGGCTGAGGTGAGTGGACTGCCTGAGTCCGCGGGTTCGAGACCCTTCTGGGCAACTTGGTGAGACCTCATCTCTACAATAAATCAAAAAAATTAGCTGGGCGTGGTAGCGTATGCCTGTAGTTCCAGCTGCTTGGAAGGCTGAGGCGGAAGGATCGCCAGAGGCCAGCAGGTCGAGGCTGCCGTGGCTGGGAGCGGCCACTGCACTCCAGTCTGGGCAACTGAGTGAGACTCCAATTCAAAAAAAAAAATATGCACCATTTATGCCCAAAAAACAGAATAATTAATTCATTTGAAATAACAACTGCTGAGCATGCTACATAATAAAGATCACTCTGGCTCTAAATGTTTTATATTGTTTTTTTCCTTGATTTCCCATGGCATTTCCTTACTTTTCAGTTCCCTAAACTAGCCATTCATGACTATAAGGAAAGAAAAGATTGACTTGCTATTTTTATATAATTCTTTAAAAATATTTCAGATATTTTCACATAACCATACCAGACATATGCTAGGATCATAACACAGTAAGAAACACATTTGTCTAGAGAAGGGTTGAATGTGCTTTCTACTTTGAAAATTATAGATATTGTTGCTTCTATCCTTCCCAAAACATCAATATTACTTTCATATGATTTATGGCTGTAAGTATGAGAGATGGTGCAAAGATCCTGTGCCAAATTCCCACATGGCATATAACATAAGCCAAACTGTGAAAAACTCACAAATGTGGGTAGATCAGTTTCATCAAAGAAAGGAGCAAGGGGGTTCCAGAGTCTGAACAGGAAACTAGTCAAATAATTTTTACAGTCATGTAATTCCAAATATCAGTAATGACTACAGTCCTGTCCATGAATACATAATGCTTCAGGTAAATATAAAGACAGTAAGCAAAAAATTAGGCAAAGACTATTTGAGATGCTATCAACCAAATCTGCTTGCTCTTTGGTAAATTTGCCCCTTTTTTTCTTTCTCTTTTTGGACTAAAGCTGAAATTGACATTATAAATTTTAAATGATTTCAAAATAAATAAAATTTTGTCTTTGGAAAGTACTATAAATACTGAAATAACTATAATCCCATGAAATATAAGTGAAAAAATAAGTAACAAGTTATTTTAAAAGATCACATATACATTACTTAATAGCATGCTAGAACATATCAACTAAAATTAATTTGCAAATATTTGTCATATCACAAAAATGTTTTTACATGCATTTCTAAGATTTGAATGTCCATGAACAAACTTCCTGAATTCATGAAACATTATAGAAAATAGTATTATTTACACAGTAAGTTCTGAAACAGAAACTTTATCAGAGGTAAAGTGCAAGAAATGTAAACAAAAATCAACAGAGGAAACTAAGAGATTCTACCTTGAAGAGAAAGGGGAAGTAGCAGAGGTCCTACAGAATGAAGGCAAATATTGTGTCATTTTAGGTAAAGTTAATACAGAGAATAGAAGAATAAACAATCGGACAAATGATTTGAAGTCATGGTGTAGAGAAATCTGAATGACAGGAGAAGGTATATGTAATATATGATTTATATTTAGTAGGAAATATATATATGTATATATATACATGCATACATATATATATGAAATCTACTTATAATAATAGAATAAAAGAGTGATTGCCAGAGTTATGCTTTGGTACGCTTTACTTGGTATGATGGATTGTCATGAGAAGTAGTAAGTGCCAAGAAGCCTAATTAGATGAGTATTAAAGTAACCCAGATTAAAAATAATCAGAATGATGGGATAATAAAGAAAGGGATAATTGTGAATGGGATGAGATAATACAGAGGTTAGAAACCTTACAATTTGGCTTCTAATTTTATAAAGGGGCCAAGACTGAAGAAAGAAATTGGGATGATTACGTGCTTTTGCCAAAACATAAAGAGGAAACTCGAAAAGAGAAATAATCTGGAGCAAAGAGAATAAGATGTCATGTTGGAGCATGCTGAATTCATTATGTCAAAAAGACATCCAGTTATATGTCAAGTACGCAGTTATAAATGTGGATCCAAAACTTGGGATTAAAGAAAAAAAGTCATTTAAAATTCATCAGGATAGTGCGGATAGCAGAAGTCACGTATGTAGCTGACATTTCTTAGAGAGAACACAGAAGATGTTCACAGCCAGACCATCCAGGATAACCTTCAGGTAGAAGGGATATCAAAAAGCGTTCAGAGAAATTGGCAGAAGACCTACCAAAGTACACTACATGGACTTAACATGCAAAGTATACTACAAGATGAAGACATCAAAGATGAAGAGAATTTCAAGAAGGTGACATAAACAAGAATGTCAAACATTATAGAAAGAGGGAATAGAATAAAGACTTTCCAATTAGTATTAATATATTCCCATGGCCCACAAATTAACCTAGGAGTCGAGAGTCTGGAAACACTAGATTCTTTGCTTGTGAAACAGAGAATGAAAGATAGATCAGGCCACCAGGGGTGACAGTCTGAGTGAGTTGGGTACAACACAGAAGATTATCTTCTCCAGATCACACAAAAACTTCATTGAAAGACAGAAACTGGAAATCATATCAGCAAATTAGTAAAAATCAATAATAACATTAATAAGCTTTTACCTTCTTATGATTCTTGTAAACATTTCTGTGGGCAAATCCCTTTCCACAAAGCTTGCATTTATAAGGTTTATCTTCACTGTGTATTACTTTGTGGGCACCCACTTGATCAAGCCTCTTGAAAGATTTGTTACAAATCTCACAATTATAGGGTCGTTTTTCTGTGAAAAATGAGTAGAGACAATCTCATCTCTATATAAAGGTAAATGATAAAAATACATTCCTACCTTGTATTACTTATTATGTATAAGGAAACTGAAGCATGGTCAAACAACTAAAAACACCAACCACTCAGTCTATTTGTACAAGAATGAATGAGTCTGTTCACAAATGAAACGTGAGCATGTTCTCTAATAGACCCTATTTTGTAAACTAAATGCACAAAACAGCTTGGATATAAAGAAGAAGTTTAAATTTAAAGAAGAAATTCCATGTCCAGACGAAAAATGTGCTGTTAAATGTGAGTTTAAACCAGGGTCACAGCCCCAGATGCTAAGGTAGCCTGACCCCCCACCGGGCTGCCCAGACTCCATGAGGCAGGGCTTCTAACACTCAGAAGGAACTAGACATTTAGACTGGCATGGAAAATCCGTATTTATGCAAAGGTTGCACTGACAACTAAATTTAAAAATACAATATGCATCAAATAAATCATACCTGAAAGACAAAAGCTTTTGCTCTGATTTTAACTTACTAAAATACCTATACCTATCTATAAACAAAGCAGATATTAAAAAACACTCAGACTTCAATGGTCTCAAAATATAAACATCCTAAACTCTAGAAAGAGTTGCTATAAAGTAAAAATTATTTTCAGAGCTGATATTTGTTTTATATCTCCATAAGTAACAGAGTAACAGATCTGTTACTCAAACTTTCATAAAATAAAACCATGACTTTAAAAACATACATTCTCAAAATGTATTTATAAATTTCCCAATAAAATGTATTAATACCTTAACTAGATAATGTGAAAGTATGTAGAAATGTAAAAACTATAATTATTGAATGTCTACTAAATGTCAGAAACTATTCTAGCACAGTGCATAAATGATCACATTTAACCTACAAGTTATTTTGAAAGGCAGATACCAGAATCCCATTTTACAGATGAAAATAAAGAAACTGAGGCTCAAGGAGGAGTGGCAACAAATTATATGGTGATTTTGAAGATATTCAATGTAAATTAGTGTAAGCATCTTTGCTTTATAAATAAGCTGAAGTCTAGAGAATTAAGTAGGAAGGAATAGGTAAAGGAATAGGTAACGTCCTAACTAGAACTATAGCCAGGGCTCCTGGTTACCCCTTATAGAACTCCTGCAAATGACCAAATAATTCCTTTGCAGTGATTTCAACAGAGACAAAAAAGTATGTAGTTTACCTGAGTGGGTGATCATATGACGTTTTAGCTGATTAGCTGAAATAAATTTCTTCACACATTCTTGACAATCGAATATCTCATGAATCTAAAAAAGGTTAAACGGACAGTTAAATCAACTATCAAAGCCTAATAAATTATATAGGATGCAAGCAAAAGTGTAAACATGTGGATAGTTGCTACTTCAATATCCAAAGTATCTATTATAATTCAGTCCTAACTTGTTCACATTATCCTATATGAACTGAATATGCAATAAACATAAATTGCCTAGTAAAAATATATCATTAAAACAAACATACAATTCATAATATGTTAGTCCTAAAAGTATATAACTGACCTATTTAGTACATATTAAATTTATAATCTAAAAAATTATACCAAGTATATATTAAATATATAATGTTATACATTTTGTAACACATAAATTTATACGTGGAAATATGTAACTTGTAGGTAATAATATTCCCTTAACAGTAGCCAACAATGGCCACTGTATGTAGATGTACATAGTATACAACAAAACATTAATTACAGTGAAAGACCAGAAAATATATGACTCTGAAAAGTACTTAATTCACAGTAAAAGTCTCACATGAAAGGAAGATCACAATTTGAAAATGGGGAAGTGTAAGTCAAAGGATACAAAGTAGCCAATTGTAGGATGAACAAATCTAAGGACCTAATGTACAACAAAAAAAGTATAGTTGACAAATATATTACATTCAGGGGTTTTGATGAGTAGAAAATAGCTGCTTTTGTCATGGGGGATAAATAAGTAAATGTGAGATACTGGATGTATTCATTTGTTTCACTATAATAACCCTTTTACTATATATATCTCTCAAAACATCATTTGTATACCACAAATATATACAATTTATTTTAAAAACATAATGGAGAATATAATGTTAGTAAATAATTAGCTAATATAAGTATTTTAATTAAATATTAAATTAGTTATTTCCCTCCCAGACACTGAAGCAGGGAAACTGGACAGGTGTTATGAAAAGTAGAAGCCAGGTTTACTATCAGAAATAATGTATTCCTTTCTAAAAGGAATACATTGCATCAAGCCTTCTATTAGATCTGTTGATCATTCCAAAGAACAAGAGTATCACACTATTTTGGTGAGTCAATAAACTCAGTTATGAAAAGAAGGGAAAAGGTCAGGCAGAAGCCAAAACATGTCATTTCACAAGCGTGGCATCTAATCTTGATCAGGGGATATCTGTAATCCAAAGAGTTCTTTTAGAAAGCAGCGTGGGATCTATATAACCACCTGCACAAGTGCTCAGAATGCTAGCACCACATAGCCCAGAAGAAACTCTTCCAGGCCAAGACACGTTGGAGGCAGCCTCTTGAATCATCAAAGACCTTCACAGAGGCTCCAGTCAAACACGTGTTTCAGGACCAATGATATGATGTGTAATAGTTAAAGACAGTAAGAGCAAATTTATATTCTTAAACTCTGTTTCTGTAACATATAACATATAATTTGAAATGACAAGGCACTGTTTAAAAATGTTACACTTGTAAGACATACATAGATGAAAACTTTCACTTAATTTTTGTTCTCAGTGTTAAAATTTACTGGTATATAAAAATTTTTTAAAGTATTAATCCATATATAAAATGGTAACTGCTAAATAAAACACTGCAGAATACTCATATTTGTTCACTTCTTAAGTCTCTGGTCTTCTAAAACATAAAATGTTTTTCAAGATTGAAATGAATTGAAATGAATTGATATTCCCAAAATTATAAAAGAGAAAATTTGCTACACATGAAAGCATTTTTGCATTGACTATCTTATTCATAGTAAAAAACTCAAGCAAAAAACCATCTTGATTCCTGAAAGGCTTAATTTTAAAAATCGTATTTTAAACAAAAATGACAAATAGTACAATTTAATTATGCCTAATGCTAAGAAAAGCATATTTTTAGAAAATTTCCAATGTACCAAATTGACTTGGTGGGTAATATTTTACAATTTAAAGTCCCAAATTAAATAATTTAAGAATGATCTTAATATGCCTTATTGTAATATAGATTAATATACAGTAATTTAAGATAACTAGATATATTATACTATGATTTGGCATTGTCATAAATTACCATCTACTGGCAAGGTGAAATACTGCAACCAAACTCTATTAGACATTAGACATACTCAACTACAAGAATAGTCAAAATCACAGTCTATAAAAACTGCCTGGATTCAGAAAGGTTGAATAGCGAGGGGCTATGCTGTAATGAAGGAGGGGCTGCATTGAGCCTAGTATAATAAATTATTAGCATTCTGCAAAAACCATACAGGACGCGTGTATTATAGTTCCTGCATCTTACCACCATCAGGTAGGCTTTTTTACCAAGATACTCCTTTCCGGGGAAAAAAGTTCTTGTATAATGACAAAAATAAATGGAAAAGGGGACATTATTCAGAAGTATGCTCCACAGTGAACTTTGCTGTTTATTTATTTAACCATTTAGCTAAATAGCTTAAATTTCAACCTCAAGATTTACAAAGGACAGAGAAATAAATCATGAAATTATAAAAGAAAGAAGATATTTTTAAAATATCTATTCCGGTAAACTTAATCTTTTTTTTTTTTGTTTTTGTTTTTGAGTTGGAGTCTCACTCTGTCGCCCAGACTGGAGTGCAGTGGCCGCTCCCGGCCACCGCAGCCTTGACCTGCTGGGCTCCAGCGATCCTTCCGCCTCGGCCTTCCAAGTAGCTGGAACTACAGGCGCGCGCTACAACGCTTGGCTGATTTTTGATTTATTGTGGAGATGAGGTCTCATCAAGTTGCCCAGGCGGGTCACGAACCCGCGGGCTCAGGCAATCCACTCACCTCAGCCTCCCAAAGGCGCGGGATTACAGGCTGAGCCACCGAGCCCAGCTGTAAACTTAATCTTTATGTCTCAGAATAGGGTTCAGCTTCAGAAGCCATAAGGGTGATAGGGAGGGAGAAAGAGAAACCTAAGAGGAGGGGTCTCAGGATTGGCATTCTGTGCAAAACTTCTTTGTAAAACAGTCTTAGTGCTTACTTCAGCAGCACAGATACTAAAATCAGAAGACTACAGAGAAGATTAGCATGGCCTCTGGACATGGATGACACACAAATACATAAAGTGTTCCATATTTTAAAACAATCTAATGAAAATCACCACTTAGAAACTGAAAAAAAAAAGTAGTTTCATGGCACTCAAAGAACAAAAGAACACTGATCAGTTTAATGTCTCATTTTATATATGGGAAATTAAAGGGCCGATGTTTCATGGAGGGTTAGTGATGAAGAATAAGAAGTTCACTGCCCTGACTTCCAGTCCAGTGCCTGTCCTGCTATTTCTGTGTAAGGATCAAAGTCACCCAGCATATAGCAATTAAACTCAGATATGTCAATGCAACAATCTATCTCATATGTTATAAGTCAAATTCACAGAACATGGCTGGAGTCACTGGATTAAAAATCATAATGAATTTTAAGTACTGTCAAATTACTTTGAAATACATCTAAATGTAAACATAGAAATGAAATTCATTTTACAAACCACAACAAAAGCAAAATTTTACTTTCACTAGTACCATCTCCTCTCTCCTTTGGTATAAAATCAATAAAAGAAAATATTTCATGCTCCTAACTATTTTTAAAAAACAATATGTGAAATTAGGAAATAAACATTCATATCTTTATTATAATAATAAAAAATAATATGGATATTCTGGGCCCTTTCATAATGCAAACAAAAATCAAAGTTCTAGTTTAACTCTATTTCATTGTAAATTCATTAATAAGTTGCTAATGTTGTTAGAATTAATAATTGCCATTTATTTTTCAGATTAACTTTATACATTAAAATAATAACAGTAAATTTCATACTTATAAAATGTTAAATATATTTTCTCCTAATATAATCATTTGTTTCTTCTAACAACATTTGAACATATAATCTATTGAGTGCACGCTTTATCACATTAGGTTAAAAATGCAATAAAGTAAAATTAGATTCAATAAGATGTTAATAATTCATATTATTACATTATATTCTATTATTTTTAGCGTTTCAAAATAATGCAGCTCTTGTCTCTGTTGTCACAATAGAAGCTATAACATGCATCCATTTCTGTAGCCAAATGCCACTGCTCAGTATGCTATAAATATACAAAAATGTATGATTTCCTCATAGATTTATATTTCCTGAGCAAATACTGACTGACAAAGCTTGAAAACTAGATGTTGATGGTGTGTTGTAAATGAAGAACTCAGCTAGACATGACAGTTGGCATTAAAGAAATATTTCTAATTTACTGAGCAACAATAAACAACTTAAAATGTTCTTTTGCAGTTTACTTTTCTGCATGTCAGTCTTGCATTCTAGAATATATTAGTACTTAAATTAATGACAAAGTTCTGACTTTACAAATCAACTAAAAAATGTTCTTGGAAAAACTCTAAATTACTAAAAGATCTTATACTATGACCAAAGTTAATCTTTATCTTACTGACCTTTCTATGTTCTTGTAGGCTTGATGCTGAAGAACACTTTTTATTGCACACTGAACATATGAGTTTTTTCTTAGGATCTCCTAAAATAGAAATAAAAGAGCATCATGATTTAAATGAGACTATTAAGAAGAGAAAGAGATAGTGTTCCTAGGTGATACATAATTTCATCTTCATAATTTAGAGTTCTAAACTATTCAGTGTTACAAACATATCCATTAAACTCAGATAAAGAGTAAGTTGTATTTAAAATCCTTTATTTTTAAATTTAAAAGATTTTCAGCTTCATATACCACCCTCCACCTATATAAAATAGGCCTTTTACCTTCTCATGCCCTACATAGTATGAAAAGAGAAAAGCACATATTCACAAAGAATACAAATCAAAATGAAAATTAACCATATGTGTTCATGAAGGAAAAAGCAGACTTATTAATTCATAATGTGATTTTTCTACTTCCTTTATACTTAAACAGAATATTTTATTTGATCAGCTGGGTTTTTAACAATGAAACATATAGATTACTATTTTCAGTACTATACTCATAAAATCTATAAGCATATGCTTTATCAAATTAGTGTTAAGAAATAACGTACAATAAAACACTATATTGGCAATTTGTATTGTTATACAAATAAAAACAGAGCCCAATTTTGTCTTCTTACATAATAATTATGTTTATAGTAGCTCATTTCATATTTAAAATCTCATGGTGGGTTATAGAAATGATCAACAAAACATTTTTTAAATGAGATGTGATAAAAAGTATCACTTGCACCACAATTAATAACTATGAAATGGTTTCTCAACTTTTAATTGATTGATTTCAAATATACAAAAAGTAAGTACATGACATAATAAACCACCAAGCATCTATCATCTAGCCCCAACAATGACTCACCCATTCCTGTCCCAGTCTCAACCCCGTCCACTTCTCCACCCACTTCTCTGTTATATTGAAGCAAATCCAAAATGAGTAAAACCAATATTGCAAAGTGATTTTATTTTCATTATAGCACTATATTTATGAAAAGAAACATACTTTCAGAAAATGGAAAGTATAAATTTTGTCTTATTATTCAAGATATATCATTTAATTGACTGATTTTAGCATGCTAAATATTATAGCCATGAAAATTTTTCTTAGTGATTGACAAATAAAATGGCTACTAAAAATTCTCCCAAGCAACATGAATATCTGATAGCATATATTTGGTCATCAATTCACTATACATATCTAATAGTCATGAGGAGCCATGAGAAAGAACATTCCCTCTTTTCCAGTTACTACTAGTTGGAAAGGTCCATCATTCACCAACAATCCTTTATTTTCCTGTCTCATTCCTCACAGCAGCTGCTCCTTGAGACAAGGCCCTATCCTTTCCTGCTAGGTAGAACAGAAAAGGAGAAGAGAAAGAAGATTTCTCCACCCACCCCTCTCACTTTATCCCCACGCTCCTGCCACTGCTCCTCTTGCAGGTATCAAAGGGAACACATCAAATCACCATCCCCACTCTTCAACCTTCTCTCTTCTCCTCGTGTTCTTCTCTTCATTCCAGAACTGAAATCCTAGTTTCTTTGAGAAGATATACAGGAAAAGCTTATGACTATTCATCTGAGAATGTAGATAAATGTTATCTCCCGTAAACATAAGGCCTCTTTGTTAGCTTCCACAGAAGCTAAGCAAAAGAGAAAGATGGGAAGGGGGTTGAGGAACTCAGAACTTTACTCTGTTTCCTCTCGGGTAACTACAAAGATTCTCATCACTTTACCAACTTCCCAGCTTCAAAGACAGCATCAACAAAGTCAAAATTAGATTTTACATGACTTTAGCTTTTCTATATTTAGGTATGTTTGACTTTCTCATATTAGACTTTATCATGTTTGACTTTCAGATTCAACTTTCAAAAATATTTAGGAATACATTACTTACAGCAGTAGGTGGTAATGAAGGAAATTAATATAACCGTACTGAATACATTACTTGAGTTTCAACACACTATGGATTCAACACACTAGGAGCTGGTGTAAAAATCTACCTACAGCCAGGCTCGGTGGCTCAGCCTGTAATCCCGTGCCTTTGGGAGGCTGAGGTGAGTGGATTGCCTGAGCCCGCAGGTTCGAGACCCGCCTGGGCAGCGAGACCTTATCTCTACAATAAATCAAAAAATCAGCCGAGTGTGGTAGCGCATGCCTGTAATTCCAGCTACTCGGAAGGCTGAGGTGGAAGGATGGCCGGAGCCCAGCAGGTCGAGGCTGCGGTGGCCGGGAGCAGCCACTGCACTCCAGTCTGGGCGATAGAGTGAGACTCCAACTCAAAATAAAAAAAATCTACCTACAGGTTATGGCGTCTATGAAAAAAATGTGATCCATATTTTAAAATTCAGCTTCTCTCCTCTCAGTATCCTCGATTCATATCACCTAACAAAGAAGATTTGCCATCATAAGTAGAAGCTGCAAGATCTTCTCTTTCTTTGAATACTTTTTTATTTCCCTAATAAAGGATTCTACAACCATATAGATGAGTGTGGCTTTGCTTGCTATTCCCGATAGGGAATATTATTTCCCCAAATGTTTGTGTAAGCCACAAAGGAAAGGGAGAAGCTAGAAAGAGACAATGAATGAGAGAATGAAATCATGTACCAACACCAGCAAGAGATATGGCACATAATTTTTAGCTAAGATGTAGCAAGATTTCACATTTTATATGATCCACAACATAGAAAAATAATAATGAAACAGACTTTCCTTTTATGAATTATTTCCTACAAAATCACCATGTATTTCCAGAATCAGTAATATCCAATGCCAATTATAAGAAGCCTCAAAGAAATTATGCTTACAGCACAGCCTGAAGACCACATGCTCAGTAATGAGAATGCAAAACTGTCCAGAGTTTCAGTACACATCTGTTTTTTTACTTAGTTCAGCAAGGTAAACTTTAAAACTGACAGGAAAGTTTTGTTACAATATATTGCAGACATAGATGAAGAAAATTAAGCATTTTAACCAGAGAGCATTTTTTTTAAAACCATGAAGGCTAGTCGATCAAAAAGTTAAGCTTGCCCTTTGCAATCATAAGGAAGGCCTCAATGCACTGAATTCAGAAAAATGCCATCTTCACCGAATCAATGATATATTCTTAAAAAGGAAAGAATGAAACCAGAACACTGCAAAGTCCTAGTGATGGGCACCAATCTGAAGGTGTATTTCCCATGCCTGCTTCTACCACCCAGAGCTTAATGTGCAGCCCAAACTAACGATACAAAGTTGGAGCCAGAAGTCATGCTCATATTGGTCTCTATACCTTTATTATTACTAAGAAAGATACTTCTTGGACAATGAACAAACAATGGATACCAACGCTGGGTACTTCCACCTGAATGTGAGAATAAACAAGAGGGGAGAGAAAAGAAATTCACTTTTCCCTATATTCAGAGAGATATTTCCACCCGGTTCCCAGAAACAAGGGCAAGTAAAACCACTGAGAAAAGGGCATGCACAGAGTATGTGGAGTACCATGAGCCTCAACCTCCTTTGGGGAGGAGGATTGAGCAAGTAAAAAGTTAACTGTGACCATACAGTCATCTGTTCAACTCAGTGCAATAGATTCAAGTTCTAAACAAAAATATATTTACTGACTGCCTACCATGTGCTAAGCAGATAAAACTCAGGGACAGTTAAATGTTATATTCGTTTTATTGTTTAGCTAGCCACTAGAAGGAATTCAAATGGTATTTGTTTTATTGATCCATACATATTCAATTCCCATGTCAAAATATAGTTAGAAATTTTCTCAATTACAGAACTGCAAGCATTTTTAAAAATCAGATATTACTGTAAAAATATTAAGACAGAATTACATCATTTAATAGCTTCAAAATATACCTGTAATTGTCAATTTTAACAATTTATAAAAGAAATTTCATATGCTGAAACATTTGCCATTTTAAAAATATAAATTCTTAACACACCTGACAATCAGGCATAACTAGACTTTAGCTGAGGTTTACAGTTATGATTAATTCAGAGATGGAAAAGATGACAAGCACTGCTGAAATCAACTTAAAAAAGAAATAGTGTTCAGTGAAAGAAAAAAATCCACTGCCGGAGCTCCACATCTGTGTGAAACACAATGGAAAAGTCAGCTCTCTCCTCGAGAGTGGGAATGAAAAACAGATCACTGTGGCCTGAGGAAAGGAAGCCCCTTTTCAAATGACCCTCCAATGTCTCCTCACCAGTGTGGACATTTTCCTGGTGTCTTTTCAGGGCATCCTTGCTCTTCAGCCTTTTCCCACAGCTGTCAGCCTTGCACACAAACCTGGCATCCCCCCGGCAAGTCTCCTGGTGCTGCTCAAAACTATAAAACAACCAGCAAAGTGGAACAAGGAGAAGAAATGGTGAAGACACACCTAAAAATTCAAACATCACAACAAGCTTTTGTAACACATGCTCCCTAGCAGAGTTTTAGGGTCATTTCATGCATGACCTCTGCAGGTAAGAAGAACAGCATTTAAATTCTATAACCATGTGATAATCAAATTACTAAAAAGTATGAAAGCATGCATGCGAAAAATGACCCACAATTACATAATAGCCCTCTGATAACTCAGACACAAAACCTTGATGCTGAACTGAAGGAAGAATTGCAAACAGAACACTGAAAACTTCGTGAAGAATCCTTCAGACTGCTTTTCGCTGTGCACTGAAGAACACTAAAGAAAAAGAGGAAAAAAGGAAAGACAGAAGCAAACTTTGGAAATCTAAGACAAAAATATAAGAATATGCCAACTCTGAATAAAGTCACGTTCACTATCCCTCTTTTCATTCTGTCTTTTGCCTTTAAAATTTTAGTAGCACCTTATGTGACTATTAATATAAGCCCCAGCTCAGTAAAGGTATCTTTTGTATGAAAACAGAATACTAAATACAATCGAAGCTGACTTGAATGTAATTTAAAGTTTATTTATTTAAAAGTATACAGCCTAGGGTATTTGCATAATGAACATTTCTATACCTAACCCTGAATTATACTGTACATCTTTAAAATGAAAAAAGTATACAGCTCTCGCTTTTTTTAAAAAGAACCTGTTTAAAAAACTCTAAATATGTACTCTCCTGCTATTATAAAAGTTTTAATGCTTTAAACATTTACAAAGTTTAAGTTTTAAGCAGAAATTTTCATCTCAAAGTTTATGAGCAAAAGCTGACACACACAATATACAGAAGTTTTAATATGAAAGGTAGCATATTTCAGAATTGTAAAGCAATAAAAAATATAACATTAAGACTATGCTAAAAATTTCTGTTCATATGTAGGTGACATTCTGTTAAAAATAAAAGCTAAGTTTTGAGTAAGAAAGTAAATGGAAGGGAAAACAAAAGAGAAAAGAGAAAGACATGTTGACAGGATGAGACAATATCATTTATGCTAGAATAATTGGTTTCAACAAAATGATAATCTACAATCTCACTGAATAGGTAAAGATGCTTTAAATTACTTAAACTCAATTTTCCGATGAAAATTTTGTGGTAGCTCAAGCCTGCAATCCCACCACTTTGGAGGGCCAAGGCGAGAGGATTGCCTGAGCCCGAGGGTTCACGACCAGCCTAGGCAACATGATGAGACCTCGTCTCTACAATAAATCAAAAAATCAGCCACATAGTGGCACATGCCTATAGTTCCAGTTACTTGGAAGGCTGAAGTGGAAGGATCACAGAGCCCAGCTGGTGGACAATGAGGTGGCCATGACTGTGCTACTGCACTCCAGCCTGGGTGACAGAGTGAGACTCCAACTCAAAAAAAAAAAAAAAAACTCTCAGTAAAAATATAAAAGTTTACAAATATATGTGCCTACTTTCTCACTTTTAATAATTATGATCCTGTAAAATATTTAAATAAAATAATAATTTTATGTCATTAATATAAATTGCTAAGATAATAAAGCATATAGAGCAATGTGTAAGATCATTCAAGTCATTATGTTGTCATATTGTATACTTCCTCATCTTTAAATTATTCCTCCAAAGATGCTGTCAAATAAAGAGTTTCCAAAAATATCCAAGGATTCTTTATACTCTGAACTCTCCATTTCTTTTTTTTTTTTTTTTGAGTTGGAGTCTCACTCTGTCACCCAGACTGGAATGCAGTGGCTGCTCCCGGCCACCACAGCCTCGACCTGCTGGGCTCCGGCGATCCTTCCGCCTCAGCCTTCCAAGTAGCCAGAATTACAGGCATTCGCTACCATGCCCGGCTGATTTTTTGATTTATTGTAGAGATGAGGTCTCGCTGCCCAGGTGGGTCTCGAACCCGCAGGCTCAGGCAATCCACTCACCAGTCTCCCAAAGGCGCAGGATTACAGGCTGAGCCTCCGAGCCCGGCTGAACTCTCCATTTCTTGAATTTTCTTTAACAGATTCCAGAGGGGATATCAAATGCAGACAACTAAAACTTGATCTGTCACCTCAAAAGACTAGCTAAATTAGGCATACTGGAATTTAAGATTAAGCCAATGAGCTTGATATTTAATGTGACTTATGAGATGGACAAAGACTAATTTGCATAAACAATGTTTACTTGTTAAAAATCATATTCAGAATATTTCAAAAATCAACATAGTATACTAAGAAAAGCTGAGTTAATGATATTGTCAATGTGAAATACTTCATCTCTCTCTACTTCTCAAACACACACACGTACGTACACACATACACGCAAAGGCAAGAAAGACAAATGAAATAGTTAAACTGTCAATGTGTTATTTTAAAGACATTCTTTAATATACTCACTGTCTTTGCAAAGCCTGCTTAACTGGGAATTTCTTCCCACAGTTGTTGCACTTAAATTCTTTCTCCTCTGTAGGCTTCTGGTGCAAGGTCTGAAGATGCTCAGCAAGAATCTCCTCACTGGTAAAACTCGATTCACACTGAGGACAGGCATAGTCCTCTTTACAGCCAAGATGATCTGCACATTTACAAGGAAGCATATTTAAAAGATAAAAATTCAGAGCCAAGAACTGCTCGGTTGCAGTTTTGCTCTATTTAAAACTCAAAATTAATTATTCTTAATGGTACTTCTTATCAGTAAATTCTTACTGTCTCTATGGATAATAATAGTGTTGTCCAAAAAATAGGATGTTTTTAAAATAATGTGAAAAAAGACCAAAGTCATAAAAACAGCACTGACTATAGCAGATGCAGTGAGTAAGGCTCCACTGTCCCATATGGACTGATGCAGTTCTGACCAAATTTTTCAGTATGTTATTTAAATTACGCATGTTTTTTCTGATTACTAAATAAAATTAGATTTAGATCATGTGGAAAATATGAAGAAATAAAAACACCGATAATCCCATTATGAAGAGACGGTTACTGTAATATATTTCCAAACCTGACTTGTCTTTAATGCATACATATTTCATGCACAGTCTAGGAACAGGTACATTTAGAATCATACTTTTTATGCAATTTTATGTTGCTCTTTTTTCTCAGTTAACATCTCAAGTCAAATGCTGGGTTTTTTTTTTTAAATTTAAAGTATCATAATTTATTTAATCAAACTCTCCATTGTTAGACATTTAGGTGGCTTCTTTATTTCTTCTGTGTTTGCTTCTTTTGTGTGAGTTTTTGTGTTTATTTCTTTGCTTTTCTAAACAAGACACTATGAATTCTAAAATAAAAATAGCAACAATATATGTACTTGGTTGGTATGTTTAAAAATATCTATTTTAGTTTCTGTTGATTCTTTTTACAAAGATAATAAAAACTGGTATTTTGATAACTAAAGCAGAAAGCAATGTAGTAGTAGGTACGTACAAGACTTGTTTGTAAATTAAAATAATAGATACAACAATAAATAGCCCTAGGAGTGATGGGGGAAAAAAATGAATGCCAAAACAAATCTAACACAGAATAACACAGAAATAATTTACACCACCCAAAATCTGATATTTTAAGCCAGGCTCGGTGGCTCAGCCTGTAATCCCGCACCTTTGGGAGGCTGAGGTGAGTGGATTGCCTGAGCCCGCGAGTTCAAGACCCGCCTGGGCAGCGAGACTTCATCTCTACAATAAATAAAAAAATCAGTCGGGCATAATAGTGCATGCCTGTAATTTCGGCTACTTGGAAGGCTGAGGCGGAAGGATCGCTGGAGCCCAGCAGGTGGAGGCTGTGGTGGCCGGGAGCGGCCACTGCACTCCAGTCTGGGCGACAGAGTGAGACTCCAACTCAAAAAAAAAAAAAAATCTGATATTTTAAATAGCAAAATGCATATCTGAAAACCAGAAACCAGAAGAGACTATTAGCCTATCCTTACCTCCCCTAAATTCAACTAAAATAAAGATATAGAAACATAGCCTGGCAATGGTGAGAGAATGCTCAGGCCTTCTCGGCCAATGACATACAGTTAAAATAGAAAATTTATGTGAAAAGCATTACTACAACTGTGACTCATGAAACCACTGTCACTTCTGAAATACTATACAGCATTTTTCCACAAAATGGAAAAATGCTGTATAGTAAGTATCAGCCTACTGTGGTTCGAATATCTGCGTACCATCAAACTCTATTCATTGAAACCTAATCCCCAAGGAAATATTATTGAGAGGTGGTGCCTTTAGGAGCCACTTAGTTTACAAGGGCTCTGCCCTCATGGATAAGATTAGTGCCCTTGCACAAAAGGCCCAAGGAAGCCTGTTCACCCCTTCTGCCACATGAGGACACAGTCAGAAGGCACCATCTAATGAGGAATGGGCACTCATCAGACATCAAATCTGCTGGCAACTTGCACTGGGATTTCCCAGGCTCTAGAAAATATAAGCAATAAACTTCTACTGCTTACAAAGTACCCAGTCTGAAGTATTTTGTCATAACAGCCCAAATGGACTAAGACATAGTGTTTTACAAGACAAGAGTGTCTATAACGTCATTCATATATTCTTCAAACTTCCCTCAGAAGTAAAATACAACATAATAAAAACAAGATCCAATAATACTTATTATTCCCCAGGAGTTGACAAGGAAGTGGCAGGTATCTCTCTCCTGGGCTACAGGAATCAGAATAGAAAGAGATTCCCAGAAGCTCCAGATACCAAAAGATCTCAAACAAGAGCAAGGCCAGGAATCAATCCCCTAGGATCCAACAGGGTCCCCCGTGCACCTCACTTCTCCACTCACCCTTTCCCATGCACAGGTGACAAAGTCAAGTCTCAGAGAATTAGTGACCTGCTCAACGTTCCAAGACTGATTAAGTGGCAGAACATGGCAAGAGTACAAAAATTCTCACTACTCGGTACCCCAATGCACCAGGGAGAGCCAGTGCTGCCCCTGACCTTGGCAGTCCAACAAGGTCACCCACTCTCAAATTTTTTCCCTGGTGTAAGAAAGATGAGCCCAGCTGGGTGCCCCCTGAGCGCAGTTTTGACAAAAACTAACTTTACTGAGAATACTATATTACAATGCAACAATAATCCTACCACAGTTCAAATTGTATTTCTTCTACAACTGTCATTCTTTTGGATCAACAATTAAAGATGCAATACCTTTTCTTTCAGTTGTTTGTTGTCCTTTAGGGTTTTCAACATCACCTTCTTTGATGACTGTCATAACCTGCTGTTCTTCCTCATCAGCCTCCATGTCACTGTCCAGGTAGCCAATCAAAAGCTCTGTGTCTGTTTCTATATCTTCAACTGCCAAATAGAAAATGTTTTCTCCTTCCTGAAACAAATTTTTTTTAATGCTAAACCATTCACTTTTTTCTAATACTAATTAAGAAATCATCTTAAGCTATATTAATTGAGTACCATATGACCACGAAAAGTTACCACCATTACATTTATTTTCTATCTCCAATTGATCTGGATGCTGAAAAAGGAAAGTGACAATATTCAATCACCTGGGCAATACAATACAAATACATATGATAAAAGGTAGTGATATTTATACATATCAAATAAAATATGGATAATTATTTCAAAATTTTATTGAATTGTGCATCCCTAACTGGCCTTATACAAGTAACATTGTGAAGGCCTATAAATGTAGTCAAGCAACGGTATTATTTACACATCCTGACAGTATGATTAACAATGAATACAAAATTGGAAGAAAAAGCAATTTTCCAAGTTTCAACACAAATCAAATTCTTTCCCCCAAATAACTTCCAAAACACTGGACCAGAATTTAAAAAAATAAAAACCAGACATCTGAGAAGTTCAGTGTTGACTGAGCTATCATGTGTACCTCACTTCTTAGGCCTCCCAAATTTTAGTGAAATGACACACAAGAAATTAAAAAAACAAAGAAACAAGATTCACTATCAACATATCAAAATTTTTCAGAAAATCCTAGAAGACAGAAATCAGACAAGGTTGAAATGACAGATCACAGGAAACTTCAACCAATAACAGACATGGAAAAGAAACGTTGCAAAGAAGAATCTTTTTTCCAAGGAAACCCTGGAGAAACCTCATATTTGGAATCTACTGGTACAGAAGTCTCTCTGGGCCCCGGGCCAATCACCAGAGAAATCAGAATTGAAGTTGCTCGATTGGCTGTCCCCAAGGGAAAAACCATGCAGAATTGCTCTCTTTTCTAAGCTGAGGATGTGTTCTAAGAGGGTGCCTAGTTTGGCTAGTGAGGACAGAGAAGCAAAGCAGAGCCTGAATTTATGGAACCATCGAGGTGGGCAAAGGGAGGAAAGGACAAAGAAAATAAGCTCCACCATGAGTGCAATACTGGAAAGCACAGTACAAAGTCTTGTTTCCTTAGGCAATATCAAAGCACTTATGTTAAAAAGGAGGAAGAAGATAAAGAGGAAAGGTGGAGGAGAGAGGAGTGTGTAATGAATGTATAGATGTATGGATAGATGTTTACACAAGCAGGAACCGCATGAAAAATTGGAAAGATGTGCATCAAATTGTTCATACAGTGATCTATCATTATGAGGATGGGGAGAGGGGCTATTCTACACACAGTATTGTTTTAGCTTGGGAGGCTTTTTTTTTTTTTTTTTTTTTTTTTACAACAAGCACAGATTACTTTGTAATTTAGAAAACAATATTTATTAGAAAATTCCACAGAAGAAATAGAAATGATGATCATATTTATCCTCTGCAGAAGGAAAGCTTGATTCAAAAGTTCAAAGTACTGAAGCAAATCTAAAGGATGTTCCTATAACATTTAGAACACTCTTGGAAGTTTTTGCATTTCCAAACCTCCAGCAACATAGAAAGTACTTCTATACAACTGCTACTCTTGGTGCAACAAAAACGAACAAACAAAAAATATACAGACACTCAGAGATCTCTTTAAATTAACTTGGGACCAGCGCTTCCCAGGGTCTGGAAACCACTGACTGAGAATTATCTAAAACAATCAGGACTCACCTAATGAAGACTTCAGAATACAATCATAAATCTTAATGTTTATCTGATCAATATCCAAGAAAGTTAACTGAAACGTCCTGCTAGCATATTAGTCATTAATTTTGTGATGGCTTTCATAACATCAAAAAAGATAATTTTTAATTTTAAAATATGTTACATTACCTAAGCTCTAATCATAGAACACAGCATGTTTATTTAGGGGCTCTGTAATATTAATAAAAGTAAAATTTAATATACCAACTAAAATTTTAATTTAAAATAATGTCAGCATTACAGGCTCCAAAGGGTGAAGAGCATGTTTTCTCTGTTTGCCAAAAATGTGACATAAAGAGGAATACACTTACTCCAGTCTACTAGAGGTCTTACTCCAACCTGTTTCTTTAATGGGGATGTCTAGATAGCTTTGTACATATAATTCCGACCACTGCCCAGACCAAGAGTCTCTTCTTTTTCACTTGCTACCACAACAGCATTAAGAAGTATCCTCTTCAATCACTTCCTTGAGTATACTGCAGTGACATTTAATCACCCTCCAATTCCTACAACTCTTCATCATGTTAGTCTCTTTCCTCTGATTATCAGAACCTGCCACATCCCTAATTTCTGGAGCCAGTTTGCCCACCTGTAGGCTCATCCCAGGTCCAGCCTCCTGACCTTTGGCAGGAAAGATTTAGAGCTGCTATAGTTTGGATTTTGTCCACAAACCTCATGTTTAAATTTGATCCCCAATGTTGGAAGTGGGGCCTCATGGGAGGTTTTTGGGTCATGGAGCAGATTTCTCATAAATGGCTTGGTATCATCCTGCTGTAGTTCTTGCTCTATTAGCTCCCAAGAGAGCTGCTTGTTAAACAGAATATGGCATCTCCACCCACCCCACCCCCCAACACACACACACACACACACACACACACACACACTTGCCATGTGATCTCTGAACAGGATGGCTCCCCTTCTCCTTCCACCATGAAGAGGAACAACCTAAACCCTCACCAGAAGCAAATGCCACTGCCTCGCTTCTTGTACAACCTGCAGAAACTCAAGCCCAATAAACCTCTTTTTCTTACAAATTACCCACAAATGCAACACAAATGGACTAAGACAAAAGTGTCAATCCAACGTTCTGGGACTCCATATGCCCTCCCTGTTGTCACTAACTGAGCTACATGTGCTCCACATTTGATAGCTGTTTTATTACTCACATCCTGAAATTACTTCTCCTTGCTACATCTATCATTTCCAGTAATTGGACTATTCCCCTGAACACAGTCCCTCTGAGACTCCTTGTATATACATCTTAGGGATTAGCCACCTTCCTGTGTCTCCTCCTAGGGGATAGGATCCTGCTTATGTTTAGGCTACTGGCTCCAGGTGAATTTGCTAAACACTTAGAAGGTTGCTCAACATCATGGTTTGCTTAAAAGCAAATATTCCTCAGCCACTGGTTTTCACAGTATTGTAACTTGTATACAACACAGAATGAGTGATTTCACAATTAATAGTCATCCTTTGTATTACTGTCCACCGTTTTGAATTTTTTGTATTTTTAGTCGTTTCCTTGTGTTTTATTTGAACATCATTTTTTGCTAATTATTTCTACTGCAAGCTGTTTAACATTAAAAAGCTGCAACAGCCTAGACTTCTAACAAATTAAGTTGAAAAAAGTCAAATGTCTAACAATTGGTGCCAGAAGACTTATCGTGTCATTTTTATATAAAAAGGTATATAAGTCAATGTGCCCTCCCAGAAAAAGTCACGTAAGCAAAAGTGTTAATAGTGATTGTTTCTAATGGAGGGAATTACAAGCATTTTGTATAGTCTGCTAGTCTATATTTTGCAATCCTTCTAGAATTACCCAATTAATTAATGTATTATTTTTGTAGTAAAAGAGAACAATAGATAATAAATGAGCCCTGTTCCTTGATACCAGGAAGTGGTACTACATGGTGACTAAAAACCACAGGGTTTGGGCTACCCAGGGTTCCAAGTCTCATACTAGATTTATTAGCTGTGGGACTGATCAAACAGCCTAATCTCTCAAACTACCACTTTCCTCATTTGTATAGTAGAGAAAATAACAGTGTGTATCTTATAAGATGGCTCTGAGGATTAAAGGTGATCATATTTGTAAAATCTAGCAAGATGTCCAGCAAATGGGAAGCATTCATAAATGGTAGCTACTACTATTTAACAAAAACTTGGAATCCAGTGGTTAAAATATTCATCTTTTCAAAATTTGCTTCAACCAAACTTCACAGAAAATTGCCTTGACTATGCTGCTTTTGATGAATTTTTTTTCCAAATTTCTCAGCTAAATGTAATCCAGTTCCACTGTCTTACCTACCAGAGTTCTGAAATGTTGTCATGCTCCATTCACCTGATAATATGCTAGCATGCTACTCTGGGTTGGATCTCTGAAGCCAATTATTTGTCCAGACTATACCTAAAGTGTCCAACTATTAACTAGGCGTGCCTGCAATGAAGGGGTTTCCAAGGCTAAGATTTCCAAGGCTAACACTGGGAGCATTATGGGCAAGCCAGCACAGTTGGACACCTAACTATACCCATGGTGCCCTCCAGAATCACATTCCTGACTTTACTTAAGATTTCCAGCCAAGAATATTGACTGAGTCTACCTCCTCCCCCTTTGTGTAGGCCTAGATCAGTATTGTCAACATTTAAAACCAGTCATGTCCCCAGAGATGACTCCAACTACTTTTCAAGTGAACCTTATCCTCTTCTTTCATCCAACTGGCCCACTTCCTCTTAGAAAGCACTGAGCCTCAGCACAACCACAAGTATGCCAACAGGCCTCCTTGCTACAACTCCTCAGCATCTTCAGAGGCTCAGCTCACTTTCACCCTCCTGCATGAAACCTCCTCCGATTTATGAAATTCATGTAGGCATGTTAATTAGGAGTTCTCTATATAAGGTGCCATAATTTCAATTGGACACTTTCTTATTATTTATTTCTGTAGTTCTTGTCATTTTAATTCACAAGACCAATAATTTTTTAACTTGTGTGGCTCTTATGTCCACAAAAGATCGTGGACAAGAATGATCAAGTACAAGCTATCCTCATAAGAGTTACTCAATATTTTACAAATAACAAACAGTAAAATGCTCATGCCCACAAAACAAGACAAATATTAGTAAAAAGCTTACTCATATTTTCCTTTATTTATTTACAGTTGAGAAGCTGTTATAATCACCCAGGTAACAGACAGTGGTGACTTGAGGATTGCGGCTGTGAGCCGTGGAGGCAGTGATGACTAATCAGGCTCTGAGCACGTGCTGAAGAGAAGGCAGATGCCATGTCCTGACAGACTGGAT